TTTTCTCCTCTAGCTGTATCTTTTGAAATGACCTGTCTTTGAATTCAGATTCTTTCTTCTGCTTGATCAAATCTGCTGTTGACTATTGCATTTTTCCTTTCTCATTGTATTCCTCAGCTGCAGAATTTGTTTATGATTTCTATCTCTTTGCTGAACTTCCCATTTTGTTCATGCATTTTCTGATTTCATAGAGCCATATGTCTGTTCTCTTGTAGCTCACTGAATTTTCTTAAAACAATTTAAATTTATTGTCAGGCAATTCATAGATCTCAATTTCTTTGGATTTGTTACTGGAATATTATTGTGCTCCTTAGGTGATATCATTTTTCCTTTTTTTTTTTTTTGTTTGTTTTCTTGAAGTCTTCCATTTCTATCCTTGCATTTGAAGAAAATTACTTCATCCAGTCTTTATTGACTAGCTTCAGGAGAGAAAAGCCTTCATCAATCTGCCTGGCTAAAATTTTGGAGGCTCTCTCATGCTTCTGTGGATTCACCTGCTCCACAACCACATTTCCACTTGGGGAAGGGGATTCTTAAGTTATAAGCCTTTGCTCATTTCCACAAAGCCAGGCCAGGTGCTGACAGCCTCTTGTTTGCTTCCCCTAGGGTGGTGCTCTGAAGTACTCTGTATACCTTGCTCCAATTCCACAATCAAGCCATGTCTCTATATTCGATGCTTGCGGCTGCCGTCCAACGTGGCATGCTTAGGGAGCCAGCCTCAGGGAGATGGGGGTGAGGTGCACAGAACATCTGGGGTGGCCATGGGTCATATGGGAGGTCCATATGCAAGGTATAGCAGTGGCTGGTGGGTAGGCTTCCTGATGGGAGTCTGTGGAATGCTGAGTAGGTTCCACAGCCTTTCTTCCCTGCTTCCTGCCTTTCCCAACACTTAGCTATGCCAATCACCTCAGTATTCTAGTTGGGGCAAAAAGAGGTAGGCCTCTTAGGCAGCATCCCACACAGCTAGGGGCTGCGCACTCACTCACTATGCTGTCACCTTCTCCCATGGGAGAAATCATGGACTGAGGGGTGTCTCTCTTGCCGCTAAGCTGTGCCAGCTTCAAGGAGGAGTGATATAGGTAAAGTGAAAATATTCTTATTCCTTTCTTTAATACATCTATTCTCAGATATCTCTGCTTCAATGGTGTGTTGGAATTTCTACATTGGATGTCTGGATTCCTACAAAGGAACTATCATCTGAAAGTACTGGAAAATCAATGCTTATGTGGAAGATCGATGAAGATTCTGCCATCTTGCTGACATCACTCTATAAAGTTACTTTTAAAGGAATAAAATATTTTAGTATCTATTTTAGCCTTCACCCTGGTAGACTTTGCTTCCTTATTTTATGTTCCATGCACTACCTCATTCCCTCTTTGCCCATTCTGAAATTTCATAATCCCTTTAAATTCCCCATGTTTACCTAAGCAGCAGAATTTTTTTAAAGCCATAAAAAAATAAATTTATTTGAGTCTGAAATACTGAAGAACAAGCATACAGATAAATAGTATAAAGGGCGAAAATTAGAACTTGAGTAATGACTTAAGACAGGCATTTTTCAAGCTATTGCATACAGACACATTTTTACATACAGACATTTTTAAAGACATTTCTCCAACATTCTCAAAAGGCAAGAACTATATTTGTGACATTTATAATAAATGCAATAGCTTTTGAAACATCGTTTCTTTCCTAAATCATCTGATTAAAATTCACACAAGTGCTAATTACCTATTTCATTTTTCAAAAATATGACATAGTCATGTGCCACATAACGCTTCAATTAACAATGGACCACATGTGACAGTGGTCCTATAAGATTACAATGGAGCTGAGAAATTCCTATCACCTAGTGATGTCACAGCCATTGTCACAGTACAGCACAATGTATTAATCTGCTCTATGTTTAGATTACACAAATACCATTGTGTTACAATTGCCTACCGCATTTAATACAATTCAGGTTTGTGGCCTAGAAGCAATAGGCTACCCCATACAGCCTAGGTGTGCAGTAGGCTCTACCATCTAGGTTTGTGTAAGTACACTTCATAATGTTCACACGATGAGATCACCTAACAACAAAATTTCTCAGAATGTAGCTCTGTCATGAAATCACACATTACTGTAAAATTCTAACATTCTTGTTTGATGTATTACAGACAACTTTCACTCAAAATACAGAAAAATTATCAATTCATTTTATGTTCTGTCACGTCATATTTCATCCCCATTCTAACCAACAAGGAAAAATACACATAACATATATGTATATGCTTTTCAGAAGTAAAGTATTCTAAATTTTATTTGTAATTTGTTCAAAACCTCAGGAACTCAACAAGTACATGATTATTTTAAACAACATTTATAGTTTAAAAATAAAAACAATTATTTGGGGAGACTTAAAGTATATTTTTGGCTGTTTTCACTTATAATGTAAATATCTAAGGAAGCTAATGATTGGACATATTCTGCTTGAGAAACTGACTAAAAAGGCTAAAAAGAAATTTAACAGTCCCTGTATCCATAAGGTAGCTATCACATTTGTTTATCCAACTGTCCAGGGAATTTCTCTCTGGCTGGTTTCAATTTTCTGTGCTACAATAATTTGGTCTATTATATGATTAATAGCATTTAATATTTTGAAAAGATCTTTGAGATCAAGCTAAACATTCATTTCATGGATGAGGAAAATGCTGCTGTGAGGTTTATGACTGTCCAGAGGTTATAGGAACATACAGAAACACATCCAGGCCATGGACACAGAGTTCCTGATTCTTAGTCAAATTCTTTAGGTTAACACATTCCCCAGGATCAGATTCTACATAATTTACAGTCACTTGATTACAGAGAATGTTATAATTTCAATATATATCAATGCATATATTTTGTCTGATATAGTTGGGATACTTGTTCTTCCACACTCATGTTGAAATATAATCCCCAGTGTTGAAGGCTGGGCCTAATGGAAGGTGTCTGGATCCTGGGGGTGGATCCCTCAAGGCTTGGTGCTGTCCTTCTGTTCTTCTTTTTCTGAAACACAGTCTCGCTGTCACCCAGGCTGGAGCGCAGTGGTGCAATCTCAGCTCACTGCAGCCTCCGCCTCCCAGGTTCAGGCAATTCTCATGCCTCAGCTTCCCAAGTAGCTGGAACTACAGGCATGGGCCACCGTGACCGGCCTGTGTGTGTGTGTGTGTGTGTGTGTGTGTGTGTGTGTGTGCATTTTTAGTATAGATGGGGTTTTGCCATGTTGGCCATACTGGTCTTCAACTCCTGGCCTCCAGTGATCCACACACCTCAGCTCCCAAAGTGCTGGGATTACAGATGTGGGCCACTGTGCCCAGCCTCAGGTATTTCTTTATAGTGATGTAAGGATGGCCTAACATACTGCCTAAATCAAAACTGCTATTCACTTCAAGGGTATTCATTACTTGACTAGCTTTTTTGGGTACATATGAACATAATGTAAATGTTATTACTGTAAAGATGTTCCCTACGAGCTCAGAGAGTCAGGACATCAACAACATTTAAACTCTCACTGTAAACATGACACAGTGGTAGGCACTGTGGAAATATATTTGGTCCTATTTTCCTTACCTGAGCTAGTAGAACAGCAGACTGTTCCAACAGTGTGATGACTGCTATACTCTGCACTGAAGAAAAGAATCCACTCTCCCAGCACACAGATGAAGCACGTACCCGGGCATAGTACTGCTCAAGGGAGAATGGTCATAAACATGATACTGCAGAATTCAAACAGCATTCAAGAGGACTCCACTAAATGGGGACATGTAGACTATCAGAAGTTATTACAGATTTCCTTATCTCGGGAATCTTCAAGGCAAAATACAGGATATGATACAAGAAATCATGAAATAGCCAGTAACATATATGATAAAATTGTCTTACTATAAAGTTATACAAGAAAGAAAAAAAAAAAGGAAGAGAAAGAAAAAAAGGCAATGGGTACAAAGCTATTCTATTTTAAGCTGGAGTGAAAAAATACAGTGTTAGCATTTACCATGATAGAAAGGCAGCACAGAAAACAACCTGAGAGAAAATGAGCCTGTAATGAGGGCCTTGCCTTAATTAGAACATAATTCTAAGACCAAAGTTATGGGTAGAATCTGTACACAGAATAGTTTTTGTAGCCATTGACTGTGTGTGTTAAAAAGTACTTTGTAACAAGAGTACACTGGGAAAATGTACTCTTGTTGTAAAGAATGGGAAAAATCTTAGAGGTCATCTGAAAGCCTGATACCCATGCTGTTCTTTGTGGGTGAGTGGTGTCATGTTGGTATGTTGTACTCATACTGAAGTGGCTTTGACAGTTGGTCAGCACAGCAGAAAGGCAGTCAATTAGGAATATATTGTACATTTAGTTCTACTGGATATTTTAATGTATAAACTGCATGAACTATTATGTATCTTATGGGGACTGAACACCCCATATTATCACTGTAAAAAGTCTTCTAAGCAGCTGGGCGCGGTGGCTCAAGCCTGTAATCCCAGCACTTTGGGAGGCCGAGGCGGGTGGATCACAAGGTCAAGAGATCAAGACCATCCTGGTCAACATGGTGAAATATCGTCTCTACTAAAAAAAAAAAAATACAAAAAATTAGCTGGGCATGGTGGTGAGTGCCTGTAATCCCAGCTACTCAGGGGGTTGAGGCAGGAGAATTGCCTGAACCCAGGAGGCGGAGGTTGTGGTGAGTCGAGATCGCGCCATTGCACTCCAGCCTAGGTAACAAGAGCGAAACTCCGTTTCCAAAAAAAAAAAAAAAAAAAAAAAGTCTTCTAAGCTTCCATTTTCTGCAAAAAAGAAAAACATCTACTTTTGAAAAGTAAATGTCAAGAAGCTTACTTTTAGATACAAGACTAAAAACCGGATACAAATTAGATAAATAGTAGTGTTAACATGATGTAAACAGAAGCATTTTAAGAAAATTTCCCTTAAATCAACAATGAAGCAAAATAATAATTACGCATTTAGAGTTCATATGGTAATTTTCAAGTAAGTGTCTATTCCCCCACCACATGCAAACCCAGCCTTGGTGCTCATATATCTCTCCAAGCATATCACATTGTCCCCAGTTACTACAGGATAGTAACTTTTTCTTTAACTTCAAATTGCGGATTCTGACTGCTTGGGTAACATAACTGTTTTTGGTTCTTGGTCTGTCGGACTGTCAGCTGGTACCTATAAAAATAATCAGAAGATTAAAAATGTATAGCATCTGGCATATCCTATTACAACAGATCAACAGTTGATGGCAGAAAAACAGCTAAATAAAAAAACATGGTTTTACATTTATTCTATGCACACTTCTCAACAGTATAATCATAAAAATATTCATTACTTACAGCTTTAATATCGTCATTTGTAATTCCTATATTTATGTTGTGTCTTCGCAGATCAGACTTGATTAATGCTGAAACAGAAAGGCATCAACAAAGTTACTATAAACTGTTATGTGAAGATTTTTTTTTTTAAAGCAGCTCAAAGTCTTTCTTACTATTGTCAATTCAATATACTATAATGTCATGATATTTAATAGCATCTCAACAGCCTGAAAAATAATAGTACGTTGTTAACAATTAGTAAATCATTCATTATTGAACAAATACGGGAATGCTAGGAACCAATGATACAAAGATGAAAAGCACAATTCCTTTCCTTAAAGGATTCTCCAATCAAGTGAAACTTTGACACGTAAACAAGTTTAACAGTATATGATAACTGCAAGGTATAGTAGGGAAGTGGGAGCAAAAATGTCTATGTCAACCAAAGAAAATAAGAGACGACTTGCCAGAACAGAAATACTTGAAACTTGAAAAAAGTGAGTAATAACTTGTCAAGCAGACAAGAGAAGAGGAAGGCTTTCTGGGCACAAGGCAATACAGGTATATCTCAGAGATATTGTGGGTTCAGCTCTAGATCACCACAAAAGAGTAAATATCACAATAAAGCAAGTCATACAAATTTCTTGGTTTTCCAGTGCATAAAAAGTCATGTTTACAAAAAAAGAAAAAAATTCATCAGGATATTCCCAAAAAAAGAAAAAAAAAAGTTACGTTTATATTGTAGTCTATGAAGTGTGCAATAGCATTACATCTTTAAAAAATCAATGTACATGCCTTAATTTAAAAATATTTTACTGCTAAAAAATGCTAATGATTATCCAGGCTTTCTGCAAGTTATTATCTTTTTGCTGGTGGAGGGTCTTGCCTTGATGTTGATGGCTGCTGACAGATGAGGGTGGTGGTTGCTAAAAGGTGGGGGTGGCTGTGGCAATTTCTTAAAGTAAGACAGTGACGAAGTTTGCCATGTCAATCGACTCTTCCTTTCATGAAAGATCTCTCTAGCATTCAATACTTGTTTGATAGCATTTTAACCACAAAACTTCGCTCAAAATAGGAGTCGATCCTCTCAAACCCTGTCACTGCTTCATCAATTAAGTTTACATAATATTCTAAATCCTTCGCTGTCATTTCAATACTTATATCATCTTTACCAGTAGATTCCAACTCAGGAAAACACTTCCTTTACTTATCCACAAGAAGCAACCCTTCATTTATTCAAGTTTTATCATGAGATGCAGCAATTCAGTTATCTCTTCGGATTCTACTTCTAATTCCAGTTCTCTTGTTATTCCCATTACATCTACAGCTATTTCCTCCACTGAAGCCTTGATAGTCTGACCTTCTCCCATTAATCAAGAATGTTTTTAATGGCAGCTAGGATGGTGCATGCTGTCCAGAAGGTTCTCAATTTACTTTGCCCAGATCCAGGAGAGGAGTAATTATTTCTGGCAGCTACAGCCTTTTGAAATGTATTTCTTAAAGAGTAGAACTTGAAAGTTGAAATTACTCCCTGATCCATGGGCTGCAGAAGGGATGCAGTGTTCCCAGGCATGAAAACATTGATCTCCTTGTACATCTTTATCAGAGCTCTTGGGTAAACAGGTAATTGGTCAAAAAGCAGTAATATTTTGAAAGGAATGTTTTTCTGAGTAGCAGACTTCAACAGTGGGTTTAAAATATTCAGCAAACCATGCTATTAACAGATGTACTTTCAACTACAGGTTCAGGTTCACTGTTCCATTGATAGAGCTTAGGCAGAGTAAATTTAGCCTAATTCTTAAGGGCCCTAGGAGTTTCAGAATGGTCAACAAGCATGAGTTTCAATTTAAAGTCACCAGCTGCATCAACCCCTCACAAGAGAGTTAGCTTGTCCTTTGAAGCCAGACATTGATTCCTCCTCTTTAGCTATGGAAGTCCTAAATGGCATCTTCTTTCACTATAAGGCTGTTTCATCTACATGGAAAATTTGTTTAGTGTAGCCACCTTCATCAATCATCTTAGCTAGATCTTCTGGATGACTTATTTCAGCATCTACATCAGCACTTGCTGCTTCACCTTGAACTTTTATGTTATGAAGGCAACTTCTTTCCTTACCTCATGAACTAACCTCTACTAGCTTCCAGCTTTTCTTCTGCAACAACTTTCTCACCTCTTTCAGCTTTCACAGACTTAAAGAATTTGGACCTTGTTCTAGATTAAGCTTTGGCTTAAGGGGATGCTGTGGCTGGTATAATCTTCTAACAAGACCACTCAAACTTTCTCCATATCATAAGGCTGTTTTGTTTTCTTATCATTTGTGTGTTCACTTGAGTAGCATTCTTAATTTCCCTTAAGAATTTTTCCTTTGCATTAACAACTTGGCTGATTGTTTCGTGCAAAAGGCCTAGATTTTGGCCTGTCTGGGCTTTTAACATGACTTCTTCACTAAGCTTAATCATTTTTAGCTTCTGGTTTAAAATGAGAGATTTACTATTCTTCCTTTTGCTTAAACACTTAGAGGCCATTGGAGGGGTATTAATCAGGGGCCTGATGTCAATATTGTTGTGTCTCAGGGAATAGGGAAACCAACAAATGGCAGAGAGATCTAGGAATGGCTGGTCAGTGGAGCAGTCAGAACACACAAAACATTTATTTTTAAAGTTCACTATTTTTATGGGTGTAGTTCATCATGCTCTTAAACAATTACAACAGTAATACCAAAGATCACTATCACAGATGACCAAAACAGATAGACTAATAAAGCTCTAATACAATACTCAACATATCAGAGAAATTAATTCGCATCAATGTAAAACTAATTATAAAGATCTATTTTCACTTCTTAATTTTCTAGACTTGATCTGTTTGAATTAGTATTCATGAATCTCACGTTAGAGTAATGTGAAATGGAATTACAAACTGCTCCCTTCTTTGGTATAACAATAATACTTGATTTTTTTGAGAAGGACTCTCACTTTGTTACTCAGGCTGGAGTGCAATGGTGTGATCTTCACTCACTGCAACCTCTGCCTCCCGGGTTCAAACAAATTCTTCTGCCTCAGTCTGTCACGTAGCTGAGATTACAGGTGTGTGCCCCCACACCTGGCTTAATTTTTTGTGATTTTAGTAGAGACGGGGTTTCACTATGTTGGTCAGGCTGGTCTTGAACTCCTGACCACAAATGATCTGCCTGCCTCAACCTCCCAAAGTGCTGGTTATACAGGCATGAGCCACCACATCTGGCCAACAATAATACTCTTTGATAAACATATAGTACTTGCCTAGAAATTAAGAACCAACATGGAATTACTTATGAAAAAACAATAGTTAAAGCAGTTAATGTATTATATATTTCACAGTTTTGTATGTTTTATGTTACTAACTGGGTAGAGGAAAAAACTTCCTTGTGATAAGATGTTTTTCTTTGAGGAGACAGAGTGTATTCACTTTCTTTTAGAATAATAAATGAATGCTCAAGTTCCCATCATTCATACAGTAATGAGTTAGTGACTTTAGGTAGTTGTGTATATCCAAAATGTTTATCACTGATGGGATTTCATAACCTTCAGGTTTCACAAAGAATGATCAGGTATTCAACAAACAGTAAAAGAAACGTTGATTCACATCTTTCTGACAGATTCTATCGTCCCACTAAGTTATAACCAGATCAAAGCAGCACAATTTCCCTTGGTATCTGCGGGGGATTGGTTCTAAGACGCCACCTCAGATACCAAAATCCATGACTGCTCAGGTCCTTTACATGAAATGGTGTAGTATAAGCTTGTTCAACCTGTGGCCTGCAGGCCATATGCAGCTCAGGACAGTTTTGAATGTGGCCCAACACAAATTTACCAATTTTATAAAACATTATGCAATTTTTTTTTTTTTTTTTTTTTTTTTTTTTTTAGCGTATTAGCTATCATTACTATTATTTCATATGTGGCCCAAGACAATTCTTCCAATGTGGTCCAGGGAAGCCAAAAGATTAGACATCCCTGGGTAGCATTTGCATATAACGTATACACATCCTCCTATATACTTAAACCATCTTTAGATTACTAATACCTCATACAATGTAAATAGTTGGATACTATAATGTTTAGGGAATGATGACATTTTAAAAGTCTGTACATGTTCAGTGCAGATGCAACTATCCATTTTATTTCCAATTAATTTCAACCCACAGTTGGCTGAAATCACAGATGAAGAACCCATGGGATACACAAAGGGCTGACTATAATCCTGAATATCCGAAACTTCTGTCCCTAATGATGATAAAGGGATACAAAAGGAAATTCACAAATCAGAAGCCAACATGGGCCTAGAAACAGTGCTGAACATAATTCATGTTTCCAAATCTGTTGTACACCCATGTGCATGGGCAAACTATGGATAAAAATTCTTTGACATTCTCTTTCTCTGGATATTGGGCACTATTTTCCTTCCTGCTTATGTCTATGATGATTAAATCTAAGAAGTATAAGCACTAGCTAAGGATGCCACATACTATTTCCACCACTACCACTTGGACTGCTTACCGCCTCTACCACATTATAACAATAGCAACACGTGTTATGCACATCCCAGGTGCCAGGCACTAGAAGCTTTTCATGAACCATTTCAATTAATCCTCATGGTAACCCTATAAAGCAGGCTTTAACACTCTATTACATAAATGAGGAAAGGAGAATTTGAGAGGTTAAGCAACTTGTCTAAAGTCACACTCCCAAGAAGCAGCAGAATCAGAATTTGAGGCCAGGTCTTCCCAACTCCAGGTCTTTACTACTTCTTTTTTTTTTTTTTTTTTTTTTGAGACAGAGTCTTACTCTGTCCCCCAGGCTGGAGTGCAATGGTGCAATCTTGGTTTACTGCATCCTCTGTCTCCTGGGTTCAAGAGATTCTCCTGCCTCAGCCTCCCAATCAGCTGGGACTACAGGTTCGTGCCACCACACCCGGCTAATTTTAGGTAGAGACGGGGTTTCACCATGTTGGCCAGGCTGGTCTCAAACTCCTCACCTCAAGTGATCTGCCAGCCTCTGCCTCCTAAAGTACTGGGATTATAGGTAGGAGCCACCACACCAGCCTTTACTACTCTTATTACAGCAGTTTTGCTTGCTAGGCAGAGTAACTGTATTGAATTTGAAATCTGCAAAATGAAGTAACAGATTGATGTCCTTAGAAGAGAACAAATAATGTCCCGCTTTTTACCTCATTTATTCCCCTTGAGTTCTGCCAAGCCATTGAGAAACAATATACAGGAAAATTAGATATAAACGCATGACACAAGTCCCTTTGCCAGGCAAATGCCCTAATTTACCTGTTAAAATGATGCCTATAAACATCCAGACACAGAGAAAAATGTTCCCTGCCATAGGGTCATAGTCTGATGTGAGCTTTCCTTGAGCCAATGTGAACAAAATTCCAAATATCTAAAATACAATAGGAAAAGTAATTTGTTATTAAGTTTACTTATTTAAAACAAGTATAAAGTTTTCATTAGAATTTTTCTTAACTTATTCTGTTTATATGATTTGGTTTCTAGAAACATTCATTGGAAAGTTGAATTGTTAAAACAAAAACCAGGGTCAGGCTGGGCGCAGCGGCTCACACCTGTAATCCTAGAACTTTGGGACGTTGAGGTAGGCAGACTGCTTGAGCCCAGGAGTCCAAGACCAGCCTGGACAACATGGCAAAACCCCATCTCCACAAAAAATAACAAAATGAAAAATGTAACTGGGCATGCTGTCGTGCACCTGTAGTCCCAGATACTCTGTAGGCTGAGGAGGGAGAATTGCTTGAGTCTAGGAATTTGAGCCTGCAGTGAGCCATGATCGCATTACTGCACTCCAGCTTGGGTAGCAGAGTGAGACCCTGTCTCCAAAAACAAAACAAAACAACAACAACAACAAATTATGGTCAAACTCATTAGCACTAGAATATATCTGGTACAATAATCATCTCAGGTTTAGAGAAATCAGAGGTTTACCTGTGCAGAAGCATTAAGAAGACCAGATGAAGTACCTTCGGATTCAGGGTAAGTGATTTCAACAGCAAATTCAAAACCCAAAGGGAGGTAACCAGTCATGAAGAAGCTAGAAAAATAAATCCAGAATTACAGAAAGAATTATCAGAAGGTCACAATCACATACTGATGCAATTATTCTGCTTCTTGGGCCTATTCTAATGACCAAATAAGTGAGTATTTTGAAGCTGCTATGTCAAAGCAAGGAAGCTTTATTACTGACCAATCAGTCCAAGGTTACAGAACTGGAAAGCAACAAATACCAATATTTTTTCTGAAAACAATTTACTTCTAGTTTAATAAGTCAATTGTCTTTGTAATCAAAGTTACACAGATTAAGTAAGGCTCATCCATTTTTTCACCAATGGCATAACAAAAACCAATTTTAAACAATTTTTAATAGTTTATTTTTTCTTTTTTTTGAGACAGTTTCACTTTTGTTGCCTAGGCTAGAGTGCAATGGCGTGATCTTGGCTCATTGCAAACTCTGCCTTGTGGGTTCAAGCGATTCTCCTGCCTCAGCCTCCCAAGTAGCTAAGATTACAGGCATCCACCACTGCGCCCAGCTAATTTTTGTATTTTTAATAGAGATGGGGTTTCACCATGTTCACCAGGTTGGTCTCGAACTCCTGACCTCGTGATCCACCCACCTCAGCCTCCCAAAGTGCTGGGATTACAGGAGTGAGCTACCACACCCAGCCAATTTTTAATAGTTCTTTTAGAATTACACATTTATATACACAGAATGAATCCTTTAAAGTTAAAAATATTAAAGAACCTTTGAATAAACTTAAAAAATTAAAAACCAGAGTAATAATACTTCAGAATAATAACAGCATGCTATCAATCCTCCTAAACACATCTGATACTTACCCAAGGACCCCTCCAGTAACAAACACAATAATAATGTATCCAAGGTCCAATGTGAAAGTAAATATAACCATTCCAATAAAAGACAAAATATAAACTATCAGAGTAGTCTGCCTAAAACAAAACAACAAAGCCGTTAGCATTTTGTCTGATCCTCCTAGGCATATAAAAATCATCACTCTTATAGAACAGATAGTAATGAACCTGTTTTTCAAAGTTCACCTCTTCCTGTCTATGGAAAATGTATCCACCAAAGCATAAATTTTAAAGCATTTTTAATTTAAGATTCAGCAGCAGCAGACCATAAAACCACACCATATTCAATGCTCAGATGGGGATACTTTTATACGAATAAAATCATTTTCATGCCATCAAATGGGATAGTTCCCTACTCACATTTCAAGATACGGATCAAATTCTACCTCTTCCAAATGCCTTCCAAAGCCACACCAGCTTATGAGAGTCTCTCTGTCTTCCAAATTCCCTTATAATTTGGGCACTATAAAACTTATGACATCTATTTTCGTTTGTTCTGTTGTTTAACTTTTCATATGTAAATGACTTATTTGCTCCATTGAGACCACAGCATCTTAAGAACAGGGATCACATACTGCTTGCCATAATTTTTACCCAAGAGAGATGCACACAACAGAAGTTTGGTGAGTGAAAGGCAGTTACCCTGAGAAGAAAGCCACAGTAGCAAAGAACACACTTCCATGCCCATCAAGTTTTCTAAATGTACAATGGATGAAAGACTTAAGAAATTTAATCCTTTACATATGCTCCCTTCATCTATAAATCAAGCAGGTTTCACTCTAAGCTATCATTTTACAATAATGAAGCTATGGCAAGTGTTGCCTTAAATTATGGAAGAACTATCTTGGAGAATTTCAAGATTAGAGATACTTTTGGTGGTGTTTAGACTAATAGTATCAGATGTATCTTGAGCCTTGAAAGGTACAGGGGACACAGTTCCATATTTCATTCATCTATTCATTAATAGTTTCATTCATTCATTTCCAAGTACAGCGGGAAGTTTTGGCCTATTAAAAAATGTGGTAATTTTTTTAAAATCCCAGAGCAAAATATGCTGCCTCTGAAACCCCTTTCTTAGTCTCCCAGTTGGTATCATTCACTTTTTCTTTGGTATTAGCATTTTGGTGGTTCCATATAATCATATAATGTGCAATTAACATAGTATATTCTTTCTTTTTTTTTTTTTAGACAGAGTCTTGCTCTGTCACCCAGGCTGGAGTGCAGTGGTGCTACCTCAGCTCACTGCAACCTCCACCTCCTGGGTTCAAGCAATTTTCCTTCCTCAGCTGTCTCAGTAGCTGGGATTACAGGCACCCACGACCACACCTAACTATTTTTTGTATTTTCAGTAAAGACAGAGTTTCACCATGTTGCCCAGGCTGGTCTCTAACTCCTGGCCTCAAGCAATCTACCCACCTCAGCCTCTGAAAGTGCTGGGATTACAGGCATAAAACATGTGTCCAGCCAGCATTGTCATATATACATTACTCTACAGTTAAATGGTGCTGTAGTCTGGGGATACTTTAGCCAAAAATTTCTTACCAAAATAAAGCCTTATGCTCAACAATATTTTTTTGATCGGAAAGAACTACATTTTTGTTTTTGTATTTAAGCTCAAAACATGAGAAAAGAACAAGATAGACCAGGCACGGTGGCTCAAGCCTGTAATCCCAGCACCCTGGGAGGCTGAGGTACGAGGACTGCCTAAGCTCAGGAGTTCAAAACCAGCCTGAGCAATAAGGTGAAACCTATCTTTACCAAAAAGTAAAAAAATTAGCTAGGTGTGGGGACACATACCTGTGGTCACAGCTAATCAGGAGGCTGAGGTGGGAGAATCACCTTGAGCCTGGAAAGCAGGAGTTGCAGTGAGCCAGGATGGTGCCACTGTCCTCAGCCTGAGTTACAGAGTGAGACCCACCTCAAAAAAAAAACAACAAAAAAACACACACACACACACACACACACACAAATCAAGTCTATCCAAAGTCAAATATTTCTCAGAAATGGCTCTTTTTAAAATACAAATAATTTCTTCTAAAGTGGTAGGTTAAGTACTGTTAAAAAGAAAGAAGGTTCATAAGCTATCCAAGTTCTCAAAATTTAAATAAATGTGACCAATAAAATAATACAACACATAGAATATTGAAACACTTGTTAAATGAAGAGAACCTACTAATTAGAATCTAGGTCTTTAAGTAATAACACTTTTAAAATTTTTTTATTTTTATTTTTATTTTTGAGATGGAGTCTCACTCTGTTGCCCATGCTGGAGTGCAGTGACATGATCTTGGCTTACTGCAACCTCTGTCTCCTGGGTTCAAGTGATTCTCCTGCCTCAGCCTCCCAAATAGCTGAGACTATAGGTGCATGCCAACATACCAGCTATTTTTTTGTAATTTTTAGTAAAGACGGGGTTTCACTGTGTTAATCAGGATGGTCTTGATCTCCTGACCTCATGATCTACCCACCTGGGCCTCCCAAAGTGCTGATTACAGGCGTGAGCTACTATGCCCAGCCAAGTAATAACAGTTTTTAAATTTCTTAAAATAAAAAGCAAATTGTTCTTTAAAATAAAAATACCTTTGTTCATACACCATACATGTATTTACTTTCACTTACTTGTATGTTTTGGTATAATCCAGCCATAAGCCACAAAGAATAGAGCCCACCATTCCGGCTACTACCAGCGTTAGCCCAATTCTTCCAGCATTGACTTCCTCTCCCTGAAAACAATTTGCATAAGAAGTTGATCAAATAAATGGATTAACTAATTAAGATTCTTCACATTTCCATACCTTTTCATAGTCAAGGAAAATAATTAGATAAAATTAACTATACATTAGGACGATTCAGTACACGTGCTAGGGTAGGAGGGGAGGGCAGGTAAAGAATATATAAAGGTATTATATTTTAAAACCAGAAAAAAAAACTAAAATAATAGAATAAAAAAAGAAAATTTTTGTTAATCCTCTATGGTTAGAAGTACAATGATTTTTGTTAGGATTCTTAAGTATAGATAGCCAAGTGCTCCATAATGACATTTAGGTCAACACTGAATCATATATACAATAACAATCCCATAAGATTATAATACTGTACTTTTATTCTACCTTCTCTGTTTAGATATATTTCAATACACAATACTTACCATTGTATTACAACTGCCTACAGTATTCAGCAGAGTAACATGTTATACAGGTTTGTAGCCCAGGAGCAAGAGGCTATACCACATGGCCAAGGTGTGCAGTAGGCTATACCACCTAGGCTGTGTAAGCACACTCTATGATAGTCACTCAACAATAAAACTGCCTAGTGAATTTCTCCGAAGGTGTTCCTATCATTAAGGAAGACATGACTGTAGAGATGTCTGAAAAGGAGGTTAATGGATAGCTTTTACATAGTACAACTGCTTTATCCTTTCAAAAGCAAAGATAAGTCAGTAGGAACTTGATATTTACTTATCTATATTTATGTTGATTTCCCTTAAAAATGTTTTGTCTTTTTCCATATAACCAATCAGATTATTTCCTAAAAATAAGCTTATGTATTGTCACAGGGATAGTAACTTCTGCTTTCCATATTGTGTGTTTTATAAACTGAATTAAATATGTTAAATTAAAATGATGGGAGCCCATTGTTTTGGAGTGAGCTCCCACACTAGGCCCAACAGACCAGACCGCACAGAATGGTGTCACTAGTGCTAGGTGCCACATAATCAAACTGAACTTTAAAATGGGGCACTTTTCCAGAAAAAAAAATAAATAAAAGGAGATTCATTGCAATCCATTGGAAGGGGCCCAATCCCCTTGGTTTTAATGCTATAAGGAAAGTAACTTTGTAAAAACCAGTCTGCTCTTTGTTCCTTGTGTCTGCTTTCTTCAGCCTTCTTCTGCCTATAAAGTCCATCTCCTCTGCTCAGCTCATCAGAGTACCTTTCTAAATCTTTACATGGGATGCTGCCCAATAAAGGAATTGATAATAAAAGCCAATTAAATCTTTAGACTAAATTTGTGGAAATTTCATTTTTAACAACTATATTATCAATTAAAACAAATATAAATATTTGATAGCAACAATGTCATAATCCTTAATCTCATGATCCTGCTAACACCAATTATATTGCTAAAGAAAAATCCTTGGCCAGGCATGCAATCTGATATTAGCAGAAGCTTACCTTATAATATGTCAATATAATTTGATTTAACAATGTTGAGACTGAATAAAAGGCACCAGTCATGATACCTACAATAATAAAGATGATATTAAGTCATGATACCTAAAATAATAAAGAGAATACTAAAATTTTGTCATTTACCAGTTCATGAAGTGACATGGATTATGTGACAATTGTGAAAATAAATTTCTTAAGACACTTGATAAAGGAAATTAAAAACCACTGCCATTCCCTTTCAGGACGTAGACTAATAAATTGCACACTAAATTTACTAACATAGGATAGCAGAATTCTGTCCTAACACTATTATTATTTAGAATGAGATATATTACCCATAAATCATACCCCCACATACAACACTATATATGGTAACCAGTCAAGCAATGGTTTACTAAAAGCTACATACAGTGTACTATAGCCAACGAATGTGCAAAGCCTAACAAACTGTGTTTTAGAGAGTTTACCTTTTTGTATCAAAGACTTACTGAAAATTCATAAGACCAAATCAGTTAAAGAATACTTTTTTTTGAGATGGAGCCTTTCTGTTGCCCAGGCTGGAGAGCAGTGGTGTGATCTCAGCTCACTGCAACCTCCGCCTCCTGGGTTCAAGCGATTCTACTGCCTCAGCCTCCTGAAGAATACTTTAAAAGTGAACAATAAAAACAGCTGGTTATGAGAACCACAGATAGGTTTGAATCCTGATGTTTCCTAGCATGTATTGTATGAATTTAGGTAAGACTCTTCACATAAATTAAGCTAAGACTTAACTTTATTATTTCTCTATTATTAAATATTTTAAGAATACAAAATAATATAGAGAATATAACAAATATCCTCATATATCGCTCAGATTTGGCAAACATTAACATTTTTCCATCTTTGCTTCAGATTCATTTTTCAGACTTTTCCCAATCCTATTCTTTCCCAAAGGCAAGCCCTATCTTGAGCTTGGTGTTTATCATTTTATATACTACCATATATGCATATTCATAATTAGAAGTATTCTGCATATATATAAATATGATTTGTAATGGGACTACAGGCACATGCCACCACGTCTGGCTAGTTTTTGTATTTTTTTGTAGAGATGAGGTTTTGGCCATGCTGCCCAGGCTGCAGGTCTCCTTTTATGCCTTTTAATGTTTTATAATTTTCTCTATGAAGTTCTTTTGGTATATTTACTCTAAGAAATCTTTATAGTTTTAGTTGCTATTATAAAAGACATCTTTTCATGGAAATGCAATTCCTATAAATACATAGGAATGCAATTGATACTTCACATTGTCAGTTACTTAGTAACTTGGCTAACTCATCAGTTTTAACAGCTGTCTCTAGGTTTTCTTGTCTTAGTTTAACAGACGGGTGATCACCAAACATTTTATGTAAAGGACCAGGTAGCAAACCTTAGTTTGCTTTGTAGGACATATGGTTTCTGATGTAACTACTCAACTCTACCCTAGTAGTTCAAAAGCAGCTATAGACAATATATAGACAAACAAAACTTTATAAAAACAGGGAATGGCCAGATTTGGCTCATGGGCCATGGTTTGCTGACCTCTGATATGCAAAATCATATTATGAGCAATAACATCTTTTTTGTTTCTGTTTCATATACCTTTTATTTCTTTTGTCGTGTGTTACTGAGCCAGCCAGGACCTCCAGTTAGATGCTGAAGTGATGACAGTAAATACCCTTAAGCGATACTTCTTATTGATTCTTAAAGAGAATGGCTCTAAAGTTTGTCTTTAGTATAATATTTGTTATAGGGTCTTTGTAGATTAACTTTATCAGGTTCAGAAAGTTCATTTGTTGGCACCTAATTAAACAAAAGAGCTTCTACACAGGGAAAAAAAACCCTATCATCAGAGTAAACAGACAATTTACAGAATGGGAGAACACTTTTCTGACAAAGCTCTAATATCCAGAGTCTACAAGAAACTTAAAATTACAAGAAAAAAACAACCCCATTAAAAAGTGGGCAAAGGACATAAACAACCACTTCTCAAAGGAAGACAATCACGTGGCCAACAAACATGGAAAAAGCTCCACTTCACTGATAACTAGAGCAATGCAAATCAAAACCACAATGAGACACCATCTCATGCCAGTCAGTATTAAAAAGTAGAGAAACAACAGATGCTGGTGAGGTAGCAGAGAAAAAGAAACGCTATTACACTGCTGGTGGGAGTGTAAATTAGTTCAACCTTTGTGGAAGACAGTGTGACAATTCCCAAGATTTAGAAGCAGAAATACCATCTGACCTAGTAATCCCATTACTGAGTATATACCCAAAGGAATATAAATCATTCTATTATAAAGATACAAACACATGTATGTTCACTGCAGCACTATTCACAATAGTAAAGACATGGAATCAACCCAAATGCCTATCAATAACAGAATGGACAAAGAAAATGTACATTTATACCATGGAATACTATGCAGCCATAAAAAGGAATGAAATCAAGGTAGGTGCAGTGGCTCATGCCTGTAATCCTAGCACTTTGGCAGGTCAAGGTGGGTGGATCACCTGAGATCAGGTGTCCGAGACCAGTCTGGCCAACGTGGCGAAACCTGATCTCTATTAAAATATAAAAATTAGCTGGATAGGTTGGCATGCACCTGTGATTCCAGCTACTCAGGAGGCTAAGGCAAGAGAATTGCTTGAACCCAGGAGGTGGAGGTTGCAGTGAGCCAAAATCACACCACCGCACTCCAGCCTGGGCAAAAAATCGAGAAACAAACAAAGCTGAGATTGTGATTAACTTAATCATTTATGCACAGTCAAGTTTTTTTTTTTTTCCCTCAGATGGAGTCTTGCTCTGTCACCCAAGCTGGAGTACAGTGGCACGATCTCAGCTCATTGCAACATCGGCCTCCCAGGTTCAAGCGGTTCTCCTGCCTCAGCCCCCCAAGTAGCAGAGACTACAGGTGCCCGCCACCATACTCAGCTAATTTTTGTATTTTTAGTAGACACAGGGTCTTGCCATGTTGGCCAGGCTGGTCTTGAACTGGCCTCAAGTGATTCGCCTGCCTTGGCCTCACAAAGTGTTGGGATTACCGGCGTGAGCCACTGTGCCTGACCCCAGTATTAAGTGATATGGTATCAAAGCAACCAAAATTCCACAGATACCTGAGTTCACTGAAGGTACCATCTAAGGCCCTCACTGGTGCCATTTTCTTCTTCCCCTCTGACTATTCAAATCCAAACCACTCTTCAAGGCCTAGCTCAAACACTCTCTTCTGTGAGACTCTCCCTGCCATCCCTAGGCCTTCCCTTCATTTATCCTTTCTCAAGGATAAACCCTGAAGGCCCTCAGCATGCACTCACCATACAGCTTCTCTTGTGTTGTTATCCTTTTGATAAGTACCAACTATATTGTTGTTTACTTCTCAAATGTTTTTATTATCTCCCCAGTTAGATGATCAATTTCCTGTGGGTAGAAATCATCTATCATGCCTCTTTCTAGCCACAAAGCATCTAGAGCACCACTATACATTTAGTTGGTATTTGATAACTACTGATGGAATAAATGAATAAAAGAATGAACACCAAAATGAACAATAAGTTAGGCAAACATTAAGCTAGCTCTTGTAGGATTGCTTACAGAAAAAATTAGCACATAGGCCAGGCATGGTGGCTCAGGCTTGTAATCCTAGCATTCTGGGAGGCTGAGGTGGGTAGATTACCTTAGGTTAGGAGTTCAAGACCAGCCTGGCCAACATGGTGAAACCCCATCTCTACTAAAAAATACAAAAAATTACAGTGGTGTGCGCCTGTAATTCCAGCTACTTGGGAGGCTAAGGAAGAATTGCTTGAACCCCAGAGGCGGAGGTCACAGTGAGTCGAGATCACGCCACTGCACTCTAGCCAAGGCTACAGAGCGAGCCTTCATCTCAAAAAAAATAAATAAAAGCACATTTCAGGTAAAAGAAATGTTGGCACAAAATTACAGAGACTAGAATTAACAGCGTATATGAACGTGGAGATGTGTGTGTGTGTATGTGCGTGTGTATGTCTGTGACGGGGGTTGGTTTTAAGTGTGGCTTAAAGAGAATTTTGTATTAGGAAAGTGAGTGACAAAAGAGTGGTCAGAAAAAGGCCACCTTAAGTGACAGGCAAAAGAAATGAATTTGCTCTACTATGTAACAATAAGCCACTATATTTTCTTACATGTAATTACGAATTTTAGGTTTAACCTAAACAAGGAGGTAACCAGCAAAATTAAGACAACAAACTATGGCATGCAAAAGTATTAATATATAAGGATGAGATGATATGACATCTGGGATTTGCTTTAAAATATTCCAGGAAAGGCTGGGCATGGTGGCTCATGCCTGTAATCCCAGCACTTTGGGAGGCCAAGGCGGGTGGATCACCTGAGGTCAGAAGTTTGAGACCAGCCTGGCCAACATGGTAAAACCCCATGTCCACTAAAAATATAAAAAATTAGCTGGGCATGGTGGCAGGCACCTGTAATCCCAGGTATTTGGCAGGCTGAGGCAGGTGAATCGCTTGAACATGGGAGGTGGAGGTTGCAATGAGCCAAGATTGTGCCACTGCACTCCAGCCTGGGCAACAACAGCAAAATTCCATGTCAAAAAAAAAAAAAAAAAAAAAATTCCAGGAAAAAAACTGGGGGAAATAGATGAGGCAAGAATGGCAAAATGTTGGTAACTGTTGAAGATGGGTGATAGTGTACACAGGACATGGGCATACAGGAATTTATTAGATTAAATGCTCAACTTTGGTGACTAGCAATTTCTACTTTAAAAAAAAATATGTACCAATGGAGGAATGTTTAAAAAAAAAAAAAAAGGAACTAATCCTGATAGAAATGACTTAATCTCTTACAACTTATAAAACATGTATGTACTAGGGTGTATATTCCCAAAAAACGTAAAACAGAGAATCTAGCAGTGAGTGATTCCCAGAGGCAAGTAAGACAGAAATAGGGAGTGTCGGTGGTTCCTGTACAGTAAATGGTGTTAACACAAGAAACAAAGAATGAACTGTCAGAAAACTCTGAAAAAAACCAAGTGTGTTGGTGTCTACAGTCAAAGCTACGCTGTTAAGATGAATACCTGTCAGCTATCCTGAAAGATTTGGAGAGAGAGAATATTCTTAGATGTCAGAACTGGTTAAGGTGAGTTCCTTATGTCTAATTTTGATTCAGCAGTCAAAACAGATGTCAGCTTGTACAGGGTCAAAGAAAGGTATTATTGATAGCACTTCCCACATGCTTACACCAGTATAACTGTAGTTCACAAATGGCCTAAAATACTCTAAGAGAACTCACAAAAGAAGACAGCATTTATCTATTTTGAGAACTACTTTTCTTTTTCTTTCTTTTTTGTTTTTGAGACAGTCTCATTCTGTTGCCCAGGCTGGAGTGCAGTGGCACAATCTTGGCTCACTGCAACCTCCGCCTCTGGGTTCAAGCGATTCTCCTGCCTCAGCCACCTGAGTAGCTGGGATTACAAGTGTGCACTACCACACCCAGCTAATTTTTGTATTTTTAGTAAAGAAACAGGGTTTCACTGTGTTGACCAGGCTGGTCTCAAACTCCTGACATCCATCCACCTGCCTCGGCCAACCAAAGTGCTGGGAGACGATAGGCATAAGCCATCATACCCGGCAAAGAACTACTTTTTAAAAATTATTATTTTTTAAAACATATAAGAAGAAGCTCTATCCTGGACTTTCTTTTTTCTTTTTCTTTCTTTCTTTTTTTTTTTTTTCTGAGACAGAGTCTTGCTCTGTTGCCCAGGCTGGACTGCAGTGGTGTGATCTCAGCTCACTGCAACCTCCGTCTCCCACATCAAGCAATTCTTCTGCCTCAGCCTCCTGAGTACCTGGGACTACAGGTGCATGCCACCATGCCTGGCTTATTTTTGTATTTTTAGTAGAGATGGGGTTTCACCACATTGGTGAGGCTGGTCTTGAACTCCTGACCTCATGATCCGCCTGCTTCAGCCTCCCAAAGGGCTGGGATTATAGGCATGAGCCACCTCCTCCTAGCCCATCCTGGATTTTCTATTTTTAGTTTAAAATTTAAGTTTATGATTATGCTATAATTATTTTTATAGCATTAACAAGCCAATCTCATTGAAGTTCAAAACACTAGGTTAAATGAAAAGAATCCACAATGCTGAAAGGCTTACACAGACATTAAAGAAAATACAAGAAAACCACTTACCATAAGTGATCAACAGAAGGACAAAAGGAATGTTTTTAAACAGGTTTCTTATTGAATTCTTATAGGAGTACTCTTCAGGGGGACTGTCTTGAAGAGCTGCTTGAGCCTGACTTGGTGGATACTGCGGTTTTTCTTTGAAGGCTGAGAACATACATGAAAAGGATTATGTATATTTAATATATATACAATACGTAATTAATTATATGTATCTTTCTCAGTGAGCAGACAGATTTCAGTTTAAGTTTAAAAAGGTAGTTTAAGTCTTTTATGGTGAGGGTTTTTATTTTCACCGATTTCTAAGTGAAGAATAGTTTAACGTCATCATCTCAGTTCTCTGAAACTGACTAAAACTCCAGAGATACGGCCAATTCGCATAAGTGAACTGCAAAACCATCGACAATATGCCACAACCCTGCCTACTGAGTATTCTATTTTTACCTAAGAAAGATTTAATTTTTACTACATCAAATATTCAACAATTCTATTTTTAAATTTAGTTCAATTTGTAATTAGAGATAAACACGAAGGCTGGGCACAATGGCTCATGCCTGTAATCCCAGCTCTTTGGGACATGATGAAGGGGTAAAAACTCTTGAGCCTGGGAGGTCAAGACTGCAGTGAGCTGTGATTGTGCCACTGCACTCCAGCCTAGGTGACAGAGCAAGACCTTTTCTCAGAAAAAAAAAAAAGGAAAATAAAGGAGAGAAATAAAAAATTATCAGGTATGAGGAACCCAATATACTACTGAATTTTAAGAAGACTTGAATTAGCAACCATTTTCTTCTGAAGTTCGATATAAAGTTTATCATCTTATCAAATTACACCTCTGGGACTAAAAAAGTCCAGGTGGATTCATGGAAGCAGAGCTAGGTCTTGCTAACTCATTTGAGCTGCATATGGAAAGTACAGGGCAGACGTCCCCAAACTGCGGCCCCCTGAGGCCATTTATCTGGCCCCCCGCCGCACTTCAGGAAGGGGCACCTCTTTCATTGGTGGTCAGTGAGAGGAGCACAGTATGTGGCGGCCCTCCAACGGTCCGAGGGACAGTGAACTGGCCCCCTATGTAAAAAGTTTGGGGACACCTGGTATAGGGGTAGAGCTAAGAGACTTAAAAGTGCAGTATATGATATCTGATAATGTAAGTTTTAGCACTGTCCATTTCTAGTTAGAAATTTCATAGCCATTCCAAGCAGACATCTAGAGACCACCTTTTTGATGTGCAGGAAAGGATCTACCAACTTTCCACAAAAGATGGCTAGAGAGATTTCTTTAGAGTTAGGCTAATCAGAAGTCAAGACTAATTCATAGGCCACCAATTCACAGGCCAGCAATTCTGTAATTCCAGCACTCTGGGAGGTCAAAGTGGGAGGATCATTTGAATGAGACTGTCTCTAGAAAAAAAATGTTTTAACTAGCTGGGCATGGCAGCATGCACCTGTAATCCTAGCTAATTGTGAGGCTGAAGTGAGAAGATTGCTTCAGGATCGCTTCACTGAGCCCAGAAGTAAAGGCTGCAGTGACCTATGGTCACACTACTACACTGTAGCCTAGGTGATAAAGCAAGACCCTGTCTGTAAAAAACAAACAAAAAAACTATTTATAAAAGGACTAAATTGCTAAAATACGGTACAGTAGAAATTAAAATCTAATCTTTGTATTGATTCAAAACTTTAAACTGTTTCAAAATTGTTAACTCCAACAGAAGGAAAATATTGTACTTCATTCAGTCTAAGATCTTCTAATGCTTGCAGTCAACGATCTTGCCAGGTATCAACAGAAGGTCTTTACTTAACCAGGTCTCAATTACCACAAATGTTAGATGCCATTGATTATTAGAGGCATCTTCATTTCAGAGATTTCATGAAAAAGTAATATTTCAGGATTGATACAACAGGGTAAATTCAAAAAGAAAAAAGAAGCCTGTAATCTCAGAACTTTGGGAGGCCAAAGTGGGTGGATCATTTGCGGTCAGGAGTTGGAGACCAGCCCAACCACCATGGTAAAACCCTGTCTCTACAAAAAAATACAAAAATTAGCTGGACATTGACGGTGGCACATGCTTGTAGTCCCAGCTACTAGGGAGGCTGAGGTAAGAATCGCCTGAACCCAGGAGGCAGAGGTTGCAATGAGCTGAGGTTATGCCACTGCACTCCAGCCTGGGCAATGAAGTGGGACTGTCTCAAAAAACAAAATAAAACAAAAAAAGAAACAGAAAGAAGAAAGAAGCTAAATGGATTCAGAAAAGAATATTGTTTAGGACTCTTTTTAGAAATTAGGATTTCTCTGCCATCCTTAGCCAGACAGCAAACAAGAAAAAACATTTTTTAATAGAAATTAGGATTTCTTCTTTGTTGTTGTTGTTGTTGTCTGTTTTTTAAATTGGCTATTTCTTTCTTCCAACAAGGAAGACCCGCTTTGGAGTCTGAAAGAGGGTTAGATATGATGGATTTATCAACTGGAATCATTTGGAAAATTTAAAATAATAGATTTTGAGATACTACCCAAGGCTCAGTGAATCAGAAACTCCAGGATGCAGCCAGAGAAACTGTTTTAAACACAAAACTCCCCAAATGCTTTTGAAAACCAGCCAGGGAGAAACAATCACTGGGAAAGTAAGAAATGACCCTTCAAATTTCCATGAAGTTCTGTAGTTCTCTAATTTTCCTGTTTGCTGCTAAAATTTTTTTAAAGTTCATTGCTGACCAAAACATTAACTGTGATGTAACTAAAACTTAACAAGCTAAAATATACTTCTATTATTACAGACCTCACAACTAATTAAAGGAGAGATATAACTCATAAATATTTACTTTTTAATATCCTTACATTGGAAGACTGGTACACATAAAAGGTTTAAGTTGCAAATCCTCCTCTTCCTTTCATTCTATCTGCTCTTGCACTGTTAGGATGTCTGTTGTCCTTTCCTGAGTCTTTCTGTATCCTAATCAGACAGGAAATATCTCTTTTTACTAAGATTGGTAATGCAGAACTCACATAGTTATAAACAAAGTTTCAGAAAGTAAAAACTATGCTTACAAGGTAGTCATGGATATTTAATGAATCTTAAGTCTCTTACCATGGCAAAATAAATCTAAATGGCCCAAATCTGAACTCAAATGCAAAAATGAAAATACTTCTGGCCAGGTACAGTGGCACACGCCTGTAATCCCAGCATTTTGGGAAACCTGAGGCAGGAGGATCACCTGAGGTCAGGAGTTGGAGATCAGCCTGGCCAACATGATGAACCCTGCCTCTACTAAAAACACAAAAATTAGCCAGGTGTGGTGGGTGCCTGTAATCACAGCTACTCAGGAGGCTGAGGCAGGAGAACTGCTTGAACCCAGGAGGCAAAGGTTGCCATGAGCTGAGGTCATGCCACTGCACTCCAGCCTGGGCAACAGAGTAAAACTGTCAATAAATAAATAAATGAAATAAATAAACAAAAAGAAAGAAAGAAAACAAAAGAGAAACTTTCTCAAAAAAAAAAAAAAGAAAGAAAAGAAAAGAAAAGAAAATACTTCTTACCAGTCTTTAAATTCAATAGATTTATTTTTTAAATACAAGAGTTTTCCTTTAGTTTCAGGGAGTCAAACTATCTTTTGGCAAAAATCAATCCTGTATTTACTAGCTACATGTTGTAGTAAAGTCGGATTTAAGTCTACTTGAAGAAAGAGGAACAAAAAGCCATGGACCTATAACCTTGTTTATTCCCAAATGTCACTTTCAAAGAATGAAATATGGCTTTTTCTTTCTCCTCTGAAACAGAAAAATAACAGCATTCTACTGTTTTCTCTTCTCCCAACCAAAAATTTGCACCAATTAAACAATTGATTATTTGAAGCAGTTATCTCCATTCTGGCATTAGTCATAAAAAGCAGCCAAAATATTCTTGAGCAACACATTCAAACTTTTCCTCCTATATAGCAAGTCTACGGCTGTTTAGGATCACTTTTACTTTTTAAGATCAGATTTTAACATTTTAAAAATTTCATTATTCGTCCCTGTGTGATTCAGGCATATATTACGTATATTACATTATTATAAGAAATAAATGTTTAAACCCTGGCTCTGCCTCAGCTCATTGTATGACTTTGAGGAAGTAAATTCCTGTTCCCCACCTTTATAGCTTTCTCATTCATAAAATGGAAATAACAATAACAAGCTGTTTGAGGATTACATGATACAATATATGTAAAATAATTCTGTAATTATCAAGTGCAACACAAAATATATTGCCTTTTTTGAGGAATATTTATTTTAAAAAATCAGAGATTGCCTCAGGAGCTTGAAATTCTTACAGACTAAGTTAAATGTATTTCTGTTAAAGGTTTGCAGCCCATGTTTAGATAGGTTGAATTAAGACTCAAGTGGTAGTGCATGCCTGTAATCCCAGCTACCCAGGAGGCTGAGGCAGGAGAATCACTTGAACCTGGGAGGCGGAGGTTGCAGTGAGCTGAGATTGCACCGTTGCACTCCAGCCTGGGCAACAAGAGCAAAACTCCATCTCAAAAATAAAAAGGAATCATAAGCAGCTGGGTGTGGTGGCTCATGCCTGTAATCCCAGTACTTTGGGAGACCGAGGCAGGTGGATCACCTGAGGTCAGGAGTTCAAGACCAGCATGACCAACATGGTGAAACCCCATCTCTACTAAAAACATAAAATTAGCCAGGTATGGTGGTGTATGCCTTTAATTCCAGCTACTTGTAAGGCTGAAGCAGGAGAATCCCTTGAACCTGGGAGGCAGAGGTTGCGGTGAGCTGAGATCACGCCAATGTACTCCAGCCTGGGCAACAACAGCAAGACTCTGCCTTAAACAAACAAACAAACAAACAAACAAAAAACAGCTGGGTGTGGTAGCTCATTCCTGTAATTTCAGCACTTTGGGAGTCCAAGGCAGGCTAGGAGCAGCCTGGACAGCATGGTGAAACCCTGCCTACAAAAAATATAAAAATTAGCCAGGCATGGTGGCACACACCTGTAGTCCCAGCTACTCAGAGGACTGAGGTAGTTAGATTGCTTGAGCCTGGCCAGGAGGTCGATGGTGCAGTGAGCTGAGATCGTGCCACTGCACTCCAGCCTGGGTGACAGAGCAAGACCCCATTTCTTAAAAAAGAATCAAAAGTAAAATTATGCACACGTTATACACTTACGTGTTTAAGTACATTGCTATTAAATATTTTTATTGTGATTACTTTTGGCTTCTGTCATCCACTTATTTTGGTGAATCAGAAAATTATTTTAATTGACACATGAGTTAAATGACACAATTTACTGCTCTGCTGCACAAGAATAGCTTTTAAATACAACAGCATTACAATTTATGCAAGAATCTGAATTCAAACAAAAAATAAGCCTCAGTAAAAACTAAAATAACACATTTTTATCTATAACTTTTATATATGGAGTTAGATTGTCTAGGCTTAAATCTGACCTTCAGTGTTTACTAACTGTGACCTTGGACAAATTAGATTTAACTAAATTCTGTGCCTCAGTTTCCTCATCTATAAAATGGGAATATTGGGACCTTCCTGATAGAGTCATGAGCAGTAAATGAGAAACAGCATGTAATAAGCTGTAATAAGCCTCCAAACATGTTTGGCACATACCAACAAACCAAATGTTTGAGGCTATAATAGAGTTCTCCTAATAGGAAGCAGGAATTAGTGTGAATTTCAGTGGAAGGCTTGGGTTAATTCCTGGACACTAGATGGCTTATACTCAATATAAGCTCCATGAGGGAGAGGAACAGTTACTTGGCATGAACCTTTGAGACAATATTTTAAGTTGACTGCTGAGAATCAATTTAGTAGGTGTCACATTGCTGAAAAAATTAAATTATTTTATAAGAATTTGGTAGGACTTCCAAAGTAACTATGGGTAGAATTTAGAATGAAGTAAAATCACCTTTTAGTAATTAAGAAACTTAAAATTGATAAGGATTTTGTAAATAATCCAGTTTCCTCAATAGCAAATATTTGGGAATGAGGGAAACAAGTACATGTTCTATTTAAATGTCACAATTTTCAACTTAAGACTTTCAGATCACAACTGTGTATTATTTTGCTTTTATACGTTTGGGATCATAAAATTAAAATTAGAGTCTTCCAAGCAAAAGTCCACAAAGTGCCCTTCTTTCAATGCCATTTTTCCTATTCTGGGTAATAGCACAAGACTCTGTCTCAAAAAAAAAAAAAAGAAAACCCTATTGCTAATGGAAGCTCCATTTATACAAAATGTAATTCCTATTTCATCTAGAACATCAAACATGGCTACCCGAAAAGCAGACTTAAAAATTTGGGTTTTTTTTTTTTTTTTAAACAATACATATTTTTTTTATAACTTTGCTAAACTGCTAAAATAGGATAGGAAGAATGTGTACTTTTTAGTAGTCTGCATATCACAAATATGCCACTCCCTAACTAACTGAAAACAACAAACAATAAGTGAATTAGACATGTCAGAATATTTTTTATGTTACCAAGAGAACATTCTGCTCCTTATAGTAAGGAAAATTAAGTATGTGGGCTGAGCTTCCTATACCTGGATCCTGCAGTTTATCTACCAAGGCAGCTTCTATTCAAACACTCTAGAATCTTCAGCATTCATTTCTTTGAAAACTAAGGATTTTATATCTGGAGATCATAAGATATGAATTTTCTATTACTATTATAGCCATTATAGAAACTAATATGCAAATTTAACTCCAGCTATAATGAAATTATAAATTTGATTAAAAGATGGCCTTTCAACTTTATTAGTTCTTTTCCTTTTCAAATAAATTTCAAATTTCAAATAAATATGAGTGCCTAAAAGGGAATATTATAGTTATGCTAGCAGCTATATTACTTACATAAACCTTACCTATCCTTTTCCCTGAAATCAAAAGTTTCCCATTAAAAATAAACTTTAAAAAGCAGACCTTCCCAAAGCTTCTTCCAAACTGATGATGGCTGCTTGCAGCTGATTTTGACTGACTGCTTCAAAAGACAGGCCCAGACGAGAGGACTCGGTGACGAATGGTGGCAGCCGTGTTGTGCTGGAGTGGCCTAACAAGTAGATAGTTGCCACAGTTTGAAATTCTGCTGAACAGCTTGCTGCTGCCCAGGACCATTCACTAGTCAACATTTTCAGATCCAGTTAACTGTTAAATTGGAAATCCTTGGGAGAATTTAGCATTACAAGAAAGACCACGGCCTGCGTGCATAACATCAAAGCATGATAAGAACTTGTTCCTGGCTAGGTAGGCTTAAGATGCAGACCATGTAAGCAAATATGGGAAGACGAGGCAGGTAATATGTTTGAAACCAACAGTTAGGAAGAGGAAAAGTTAGTAGACAGATAAATGAATTAGTCTTGAAACCCATTACGATGTAAAAACAGATGTGTAGGCCGTAACATATCCCTAGGGTTGTAGCATTCATTACCTGAGCAAGAATGAAACAAGCACATGACACTTGAGATATTATCAACAAAAATTTCCAGAGTTAGTTATCCTCAAATTTCTATCATGCATTCATTTAAGCTTTAGGGAAAATAATTCACTTACCAATTGCTGTTAAAATAAATAAAAGTGTGGCAACAGCTGATGTCCCATAAAACATGGTGCTGATATTACAAGCCAGGAGATTTGTGTCATTCTGTGTGTTGGGTACTAAAACTGGTGGTAGCAAAAAGCCAACTGCAGTTCCAAGCTGTAAAACACATAGTCCTGTTAATAGCTATTATCGTTAGAGAAGAAAGTAAATGCTGGCAATTAACAGAATATGAAGAGGACAGCTAGGGTTTATTAAGGAGCTTAGTAAATTACTATGTTCTAATGTCTTTGTTACAATCGTATTGTTAAAGGGAAATTGCTGACCAATATCTTTCCTATTCAAAAAACATTTACCGAATTCCTACTATCTGAGCGATGCTGCTATAAAGCTGTGTGATATACAGTCCCTGCCCTGTAGATGCTTACAAAAGAAAGGGGAATAAGAATATACAAAATAAGGCTAAGATGACCTACAGAATGAGAGAAAATATTTGTAAATCATATATCTGCTAAGGATAGAGCTTCCAGAATATATAAAGAACTCTTACAATTCAACAAAAAAAGCAAATATCCCAATTTAAAAATGGGCAAAAGACCTGAAGAGACATTTCTCCAAAGATATACATATGGCCAATAAGCATTTTAAAACATGCTCAAATCAAATCCATAATAAGATACCACTCCACACCAGGTAGCATGACTATTATAATAATAGCAATAGAGAAGTGCTGGCGAGTGGGACCAGCAGCCCTCGTGAGAGGTGAGGTTGAAGCTGCCTCCGCCATCTTGGAGATGGGAGACGGGCGACGGCTGTGGTCCTTCTGCTACTGCAAACCACAAAACGAGCACACTAGTCACACCCGAGGGAGGCCACCATCACTGTAACTGTTGGCCAAAGCTACAAAAGAAACGAGGGTGTCCAACTGAGCGCGGCGACACTGAAAGCAGCTTCCCCTGCCTCCTGCGGCTGCGGAAGTGAAGTGCCGAGGGCCGGAAGGATACGTGCGGTCCTGCTCCGCCCACGGCCGCGAGAACCGCTGCTTCAAGGACAAGCCCGTTTCTTTCCACAAGTTTCCTCTTACTTGACCCAGTCGCTGTAAAGAATGGGAGGCAGCCGTCAGGAGAAAAACCTGTAAACCCACCAAGTATAGCAGTATTTGCTGCGAGCACTTTACTCCAGACTGCTTTAAGAGGGAGTGCAACAAGAAGTTACGGAAAGAGAACGCGGTGCCCACAGTATTTCTTTGTACTGAGCCGCAGGACAAGAAAGATGATCTTCTGGAGCCACAAGAACAGCTTCGCCCACCTCCTTTACCGCTTCCTGTTTCCCAGGTTGATGCTCCTGTTGGATTAGTAATGCCACCTCTTCAGACCCCTGTTAATCCCTCGGTTTTCTGTGACCACACTACACTGTGGAGGATACAGTGCACCAGCGGAAAAGGATTCATCAGCTAGCACAGCAAGTTGAAAAACTCAGAAAAAAGCTCAAGACCGCACAGCAGCGATGCAGAAGGCAAGAACAGCAGCTTGAAAAATTAACGGAGGTTGTTCACTTCCAGAAAGAGAAAGACGACGTATCAGAAAGAGGTGATGTGATCCTACCAAATGACTACTTTGAAATAGTCGAAGTACCAGCATAATAAAATGTAATGTGTATTGATTTCTTTTTTTTTTTTTTTTTTTTGAGACGGAGTTTCGCTCTTGTTACCCAGGCTGGAGTGCAATGGCGCGATCTCGGCTCACCGCAACCTCCGCCTCCTGGGTTCAGGCAATTCTCCTGCCTCAGCCTCCTGAGTAGCAGGGATTACAGGCACACGCCACCATGCCCAGCTAATTTTTTGTATTTTTCGTAGAGACGGGGTTTCACCATGTTGACCAGGATGGTCTCGATCTCCTGACTTCGTGATCCACCCGCCTCGGCCTCCCAAAGTGCTGGGATTACAGGCTTGAGCCACCGCGCCCGGCAGTGTGTATTGATTTCTAATGGGGCAATACCACATATCCTCTTCTGGCCTATAGAGGAGTTTCATTAAAAAAAAATAACACTTGTTACTTACATAAAAACAGTTCAGAACTTTTTTTTTTTAAAAAAGAATTCGATATATACTGTAAAATTATAAATTTGTTTGTAATTTCAAGTTTTTTACATTTTAACAAAATATTTTAAAAGTTACAAACTAACCTCAGAACTCTAAGTTGGTTTCAAGACTGGAGATTTTTGGGGTTTAGTATTTATAGAAATAATGTAAAAATAAAAAGTAAAAAGAATGAGAACAGTACAGTAAAAGGGTGATTTAAGTTTAAAACTTAAAATTAATACTGTTTTATTGAGAGAACTAGTTATATTTTAAATCAGAAGTATGGGTCAGATCATGGGACATAACTTCTCAGAATATATGTATATGTACATATTCTCATAAGTAAAGTCACAAGGTTCACTTATCTTTCTGAATCAGTTATCACGGATAAACTGGCAAGTCAGTACTTAAAAAGAAAAAAAGATTTGATTGTCTTCAGCAGAAAAGAGTCATTCCATATCTAATCAATAAGTTTAGATTCTAAGAGTGGACTTTTTTTTTTTAAATGGGCTCCTATTTTTTCTCCTACTGTCTAGCTATTTAAAATTAGAAGTGCATTTTCAGTGGAAAAAACATTCTTCAATAAATAAAGTAAGGCATTGTTATCAGTGAAGTCATTGAAAAAGTGTTGGCAAAAATGTGGAGAAATTGGAACCCTTGCATACTGCTGGTGGGACTATAAAATGGTACAGCCACTGCAGACAATAGTTTGGCAGTTTCTTAAGTTTAACACAGAATTGCCACACGACTTAGCAATTCCACTCCTAAGTATGTGTCCCAAAAACTGAAAACAGAAATTCAAACAAATAATTATATGTGAATGTTCATAGCAGCCCTATTCACAATACCATAATAACCAAAAGGTGAAAATAACCCAAACATTTTATCAACAGATAAATGGATAAACAAAATGTGGTATATCCATACAACTAAATACTATTCAGCTATTAAAAAGGAATGAAGTACTGATATAGTGCTATGACATGGATGAACTTTGCAAATAAGCTAAGTGAAAGAAGCCAGCCACAAAAGGTCACCTACTATATGATTTCATTTATATGAAATATCCAGAACCGGTCAATCCACAGAAAGAGAAGGCAGATTAGTAGTTGCCACAGGATAGGGGAGGGGGCAATGGTGGGGAAGTGACTGCTTAGTAGGTATTGAGTCTTCTTTAGGGTGGATTAAAATATTTTGACACTAGATAAAGTAACAGTTATGGCTGGACACAGTGGCTCATGCCTGTAATCCCAGCAATTCGGGAAGCCGAGGCTGGTGGATCACCAGAGGTTGGGAGTTCGAGACCAGTCTGACCAACATGGAGAAAGCCCATCTCTACTAAAAATGCAAAATTAGCCGGGTGGGGTGTAATCCCAGCTAATTGGGATGCCGAACCAGGAGAATCACTTGAACCTGGGAGGCAGAGGTTGTGGTGAGCTGAGATTCTGCCATTGCACTCCAGCCTGGACAACAAGAACAAAACTCCTCCTAAAAATAAAGAAGTAACCATTGCACAACACTGTAAATGTACTAAATGCCACTGAACTGCACACGTTAAAATGGTTAGTTTTATGTTATGTGAATTTTACCTCAACTTAAAAAATGGCTGAATATCATAATCACAACAAGAAATAAAATCAAAATATTAAAAGGTTCAGTGGAGGAAGATATCATTTTTAGAAGGGCCCAAGAAAGGAGTCTGAGGCAGAGACAGTCACACTTATCAAATACTTCATTTGCTCCCTTACAAAAAGCTAGATAGAGAGACTATAACTGGTAATTATGAGAGTGTGGTAATACAGAACTGTGATGGAGGCATAACGAGTGCCAAGACTGGGAGACCACATAATTTACTGTCCAAACTAGAACACTCTTCAGAAGGAAAGGGACTTCATTAGTAATTATACTAGACAAAAGGTGTACCACCAGGGCTATCCCAGGCAAACTGGGACATATGATCAGGATAGCTAAGAGAGTACCACCTTATATAGAAATATTATTCAGCTATCAAAAAGAATGAAGTAAAAGAAATGCGATTCAGAAAAAGTTCCTAAAGGAGCGAAGATCTGAATAAGAAATTGGGAGTTGTCAAGTGAAGAAATATTCCAAGCCAAGAGGACATTACATACAAGGCCAGGAGGGGAAGAGCATGACTCTGGGAGAAACTGTAAGTGTGGACAGTTCCACACAGAGCAGAGAAAGCATATGTCTGTGGGGAAAGGGGTTGTGGAGACAGATAAAGGGGAAGGGCTCGAAGGAGACAGACCTGGAGGGTCCCATATGTCACATTAGAGTGTTTAAATTTTATCCTACCGACAATGGAAGCCACTGCAGGACGTAAGGATGTGTCCTGAACAGATTTGCATATTGTGAAAGACCACACTGGATGAATGTGGAGAACAGAGAGAAGAGAGCAAGGGCTACAGATAGGGAGGACAGTTAGCAAGCTCTAGGTGAGAGCTGTAGGTGGCCCAAGCCAAGACCGTGGCATTAGAGATAAAGGGAAATGAGCAAGTAGAAAGCAATTTTGAGTGGTGTGTTCCCATGAGGTATCCGAGATAGTTCCCATGAGACTATCTAGCTGGCTGATATCTGTATGAGTCTGAAGCTCCTTCACTTATTCAACATAGTTTTATGGAGAGTAATAAATGCTGATGATACAATTGTGTACATTCAGACCATATGCTTATTTTCATAAAACTTACAATCTAATGGTGGGAGTAAGAGAAGAGTAATAGGTAATATATAAACATGTAAACAATAACATGAGACAGTGATGCATACTATAAGGAGAATTAAAGTAAAATAAATAATAGAGTGACTGGGCAACTCAAATGGGATCAAGAAATGCCATTGAATATTAAAATGAATTTAAACTGAGAGATGTGTGACAAGAATAATGTAATCATGGCCGGGCGTGGTGGCTCACACCTATAAGCCCAGCACTTTGGGAGGCAGAGGTGGGCAGATAGCTTGAGCTCAGGAGTGCAAGAGCAGACTGGGCAACACGGAGAAACCCCGTTTCTACCAAAAACAAACAAAACAAAAAAAAACTTTAAGAAAATAGCTTCTGTCCAAACCTGCAAATGCAACCAACTCAAGTATCAGTCATAAATTATTTTGGACATACAGACAACTAAAGTTCAATCTACTCCATCTTCTCTACTTTTAGATAAGAGAAATTACTATACAGCAATAAGCATGTGGATTCTTGTGCCTCAGCCACCTGAGTAGCTGGGATTACAGTCATGCAGCACCAGGCCCGGCTAATTTTTGTGTATTTGGTTTTGCCATGTTGGCCAGGCTGGTCTCAAACTCCTGGCGTCAAGTGATCTACCTGCCTCAGCCACCCAAAGTGCTGAGATTACATGCATGAGCCACCAACTCCAGTCCAGAACTTTTAGTTAGCTGTCATTTCTATGTCCCTTATGTGCTAGGCACTGTGCTGACCGCTAATATGTGAAAATAAAAAGGAGCTCTTCACAATGACCTCTCAAAATGGAAAAAGTCTTCCCAGAATCCAGTACCTTCCTTTCACAAAGAATACACTTGTGACAAAAATAATATCTACCCAAGTCTTGATCATTACTGCATTGACAGGTTTTCTATGCTCAGCATATACAAGCCAATACAGTTAATTATTCTTATTATTTTGAGACGGAGTCTCAGTCACCAAGCTGGAGCGTAGAGGCGCGATCTCCTCTCCGCTCACTGCAACCTCCACCTCCCAGGTTCAAGTGATGCTCCTGCCTCAGCCTCCTGAGTAGCTGGAATTACAGGTGCCTGCGACCAGGCCCGGCTAAGTGAGCCACCGCGCCCAGCCAAGTTAATTACTTTATAGGTAATTTTCAAAGCAAGATGACAAGGTGGTTTGGAAAATTCTGTCCTTACAAAGAAACGTATAACCCTTTTCAATCCAAGACTGCCTCCTATTCTGCGACTTCATCTCCTCTTTCATAGACAAACACCTCCTGGGGCAGTCAGTTCATCCACACAGGCCATAGTTCTCACGGCCTATGACTTTTTCTGGTCTTTGAAGGATCCAACTTTCACCTACCACTCCAGTCCTTACCTGATTGCCCAGCACAGCGGTGGCACAAGCTGTGGACACTTCTTTGGGCCCAAACCACACTGAGGCGATGCGGGAGGGCAAGCCCAGGATGAACACCTGGGCCACGGAGCACAGGCACTGGCCCAACATGGTGACCCAGAAGAGATGCTGCTGCACACTGCCGCACTTGATCCAGGCGCCCAGGCAGTTGAGGCCGGAGCCCAGCAGGGCGGTGAGCCGAAGGCCTCTGGTGTCCAGCAGCCAGGTAGCCGGGAAGATGAGGGGCACGTAGGCCAGCATGTACACCATGGACAGCCAGTCGATGTGCAGCAAGGTGACACCGTAGAAGCCCTCGAAGACGTTGCTGATGATGCTGTACTGGATCCACTGAAAGGCGTTCACCAGCGAGTACAGGCTGAAGATCAGGAGCACCACGAAGCGCCGCGGGGAGAGCGCCGTCCGGGGCAGCGGGGCGCCCTCGGCCCCCGGGGTCTCCGCCCCCGCGCCCGCAGGCAGCAGCCGGGCCTGGGTCTCCTCTTCCGGGGCCAGCGGAGTCTGAGGCCCGCCCACGGCTCCCGAGGCGGCGGCGAGGCTGTCGCGAGGGGCCCCATTCACCGAGAGAGAACCCGCTTTGGGCCCGTTCTGCGGCTCCAGGCTCCCCTTCCCGGCGGGCGCGCCCCTCGGCAGCGGGAGGTATCCTTTCGCGTGTGGGTGTCCGGCCGCCACCGCCGCCCCCTCCTCATCGTCTGGACGCGCCATGTCCCCGGCTCCCCGGCGCCACCTCGCGCCCCCGCCCCCCTCCCCGGCTCCGCACCCTCGGCCCACAGCCCAAGGTCTTCCCGGGCCCCACCTCCACCCCCTCGGCCCACCGCTCTTTCCCCGGTGGCGCGCGCCGCGAACCGCAATCCGCGCCGCCGCGAAAACAGATGAAGGCGTCCCAGTCCGCGCCGCGCGGCGGTCACCCCTCGTCTGGTCCCGCCCCTAGAGTCGCGTGTCCCGCTTGACGACGGTCCTCCGGCCAATCAGCGCGCACATTTGCCCGGCGCAGCAGCAAATCGGGAGGATGGAGAGGGGCTGGAGCGAACTGCCGGACTGCGGGGGCGGGAAGCGGGCGGGGAACGCCGGCTGCCGTTTTCCTGCCCGGAAGGATGGAGGACCCGGGGTCTGCCGCACCTGGGGATGGGGAGGCGGCCCGGGGTTGTGTTGCTGGAAAAAGGGTGCCTCGACTCGGACCCCAAGAGAGGGTTCTTGGGTCTACCGCAGGAAAGAATTGAACGCAAGTCACAGAGCTCCGTGGAGGAAGCAAGTTTACTGGAATCTGCTCCGTTAGAGTCTGGCATCCTCTGACTGCAGGAGAAGGAGCTCCCGCCCTTTGGTAGTCACTACTTACGGGAAACTGTGAGAAGCTGTGAGCAAACGTGGAATCTGCGGATGTGCCCACTGAAGATAGGGCTGTGGATGCACTAATGACCATTAATCCTTCAACCCAAGCCTGCGCATGGCCATAAATATTGTGTAATTATAATTGCTGGTCAGCTTAGAACGCGGCTATTTTCAGACCTTTAGCATTAACCTTATAGGTGCCCTGTGAGTGCCTGGCTACTCACTTTAACATGCAATCACTCTGGCTGTGTTTTATTAAACCAGATGCCTGGTAAGCAGTGACTCCTCTAACAAGCGGGCAGCTTGGAACTGGGAACGAGAGGGTCACCGAAACAGAATGAGGAAGACAAAGAAGTGGGCATCACCCTCGCCTCCACAAGGGCTTCCCAAGGGCGCTGTCCCCTACGCAAGCCCAGGACGAACTTTATTTGTCGCCCCAGCATCGCTGTGCGTCTCAGTGAGACCCTGGCTTTAGGGCAGACAGGACCACGTTTCATAAATTCATGCTGTCCCTGCAGAGGAATAACGCCAGAAAGGGTTCCAGCACAACTTCCCTTGTGAAGCTGGAATCCCCCAACCTCACCCTGCTGACTTGGATAAAGCACTGAGACCGGCTGTGATGGAGCAGATCCGGTTGCTCCACCTTCTCCCTCGGACCAACACGTGTAGTTAACAGTTACTGGATGGACATGCATATTCAGTTCGCTCCAGGCACCAAACTTGTGTTGAATCGTAAGTGCCAGACACTGTCTTGAAATCTGGAGAATAAAAAAATAAAAACGAGATGTCCAGAGCACAGTAGCCTTGCGTGTCTTCCTGGACTAGAGAAAATTCAGCCCAGCTGCTCCTTGGGAAGCTATGTTTGGGGGTGGGGGGGAGAGAGACCCCAAAGAATTTGTTGTTAAATTCAAACTAGGTGTATATAGTACAGGAATTCTTACCATGCATTTAATCGTAAAAAGTGCTGATATCTAGAACCCTAAGCCCCTGCACTTTGTTTTATTGCCTCTTACATTATTATTTTGGTCATGTATGAAATATATTCGGCATCTCTCGGTACAAGTGAAATGCTACATATTCTAAACTTAAGTGATAAGTGCATTATAATGTTTTCCTTGGCCAAAGTATATCAATTGCTTGTGAAGCAACATTCCTTCCCTGCTTTTCTCTCTCTCTCTCTCTCTCTCTCTCTCTCTCTCTGTCTCTCTCTCTGTCTCTCTCTCTGTCTCTCTGTCTCTCTCTCTCTCTGTCTCTCTGTCTCTCTGTCTCTGTCTCTCTGTCTCTCTCTCTCTCTCTCTCTCTCTCTCTCTCTCTCTCTCGGCTGACCACCAAGCCCGAATGATCTGCTCACCTATGCCTCCCAAAGTGCTGACATTACAGGGATGAGCCCTCACGCTGGCCTTTGCCTCGTTGTTTTCTCCCTGCCCGCTACATTAAGTTTGGTTGCTTTTTACTACCTCTATTTTTCAAGAATTTGTAACGTACTATGTTCGAGCACCTAGCACATAGTAGGTGTTCAATAAATATTTACTGTGTGTATTTTAAATAATTACTTGCTTTGTAAAGAAGTCTATTTCTTCTCTCCGCCCAACAGCCGCCGCACTGCCGTCACGGACACCAGCCTTGTGTCCCCATCTAGCCGGCCAGGGTCACTAAGCTCCTGGGCAGAATCAGCTCTCAGGGAGAGTGCACACAGGAATGTATGGATGACACAAGCCACTCCATCATCCGCCCAGTAAAAGGCCCCGTGCTCAAGGGCTATGTAATCACCCGTTGGAGCCTGAGCCAGAGGCCCGGAGATGGCACCGAGCTTGGCTGCTCACTGAGTCTTGGATGTTGGGTTCCACCACTGGGTCCGTAAGAATGGTATGCCACGATCCGCTCCTTTATTTTATTTTTTGCCAGCCACACGGAAATTAAGATACACGTTTAAATAAAGTGTTTGTGTTCCAAATTAAAAAGCAAGAAATAGAGAGAGGTAGGAAGGAAATCTATTTCTTTGATTATTATTATTATTATTATTTTATTTTTGACACGAAGTTTTGCTCTTGTCACCCAGGCTGGGGTGCAGTGGTGCAATCTCAGCTCACTGCAGCCTGCGACACCTGGGTTCAAGAGGGTCTCCCTCCTCAGCTTCCCAAGTAGCTTACAGGCACCTACCACAACATGAAATCTATTTATTAAAAAAAAAAAAAAAAAAAAAAAAAAATCTTGCAGACTTCCAGGAGAAGGAAGGTTGAGAGGGAGGGAGGGAGGGAGGGAGATCTATTTCTTAAAATAAAAAAGAAAAATAAAAAAATCTTGCAAACTTCCAGAAGGAAGGAAGGAAATCTATTTCTAAAAAAAAAAAAAAAAAAAAAAAAAATTGCATTCTTTGCAAAACACAGGACTTAAAAAAAAAGAAAGAAAGAAAACAAAAGAAAAAAATTCTTGCAAACTTCAAGAAAGAGTTTCTGTTCCAAATTTTTTAAAAAGAAAGAAATCTATTTCTTTAAAAAAGAAAATCTTGCAAACGTCCCTGACAAACATGGTTTTCTAAACATTGGAGGTTATTCTAGATCACTGAGGGGTGTTCTCTGAATGAGGAAAAAAAGTAAGTGTGGAATCCAAATTGGGCCTTAGTCAAAAACTTTATTTTATGAATTTCTAAAAAAATGAACTAATTGCATTGCTTACTATTCAGCATAAAGCTGGACACAGTGGCTTATGCCTGTAATCCTCGTATTTTGGGGGAGGCTGAAACAGAGGATGACCTGAGCCCGGGAATTTGAGTCTGGCCTGGGCAACATAGGGACACCTTGTCTCTAAAAATAAATAATATTCAGCACTATTATTCAATATTCACAGGCATTTTTCTGTACTTTCATGTACCATGAAACCTACATAGCTCACACACACACAAAAAGCTATTTGGAAAGGGAATCCAGTGGGTTAAATTTTAAATGACCTTTCTTTGTTTGCCCCAACCATACCTCTGTTCCAGATGTCCACAGTAAACATCCAGGTATCTGCAAACTTTCCACCCCTTCCTGAAACCAGAGACTGAAATGTTATATTAGATCCAATTTCCCTATTATCCAGTGGGTGCTAGACATCATCTTCTGCCATATCTAATAGATAACTCTTCTCTGCACTAGGGAGCTTCCTGAACATACTACTACAGGGAGGCCATTTTTTCTGTTTAGGCTCCTTCTGTTTAGAGATCATTTGTCTTTTCTATGTCCTCAGCAAGAAGGATTGGGTTGAAAATTCCCTGGGTGTCCTGGACAGCCAGTCAGCTCATAATTTTCCCAGATATTTTTATGAGCTGGCTGGCCCCTATTCCATTCTGTCTCTCTCTCTGTGTTGCTCAGGCTGGTCTTGAACTCATGGCCTCAAGCAATCCTCCTGCCTCAACCTCCCCCCAAATGCTAGGGTTACAGGCATAAACCACTGTGCCCAGCCATCTGTCCTACTCTCGTATCCACCTTTATCATGTGCTTTCTCTGCACATATATCTGACACTACCACCACTTCCCTGGAATGTACCACCAAGGGGGTCTAGAGTATTTGGCAAGGGCATCAGAGCTACAACAAGCTACCTGGGTTTGAATACCCTGCTTCAGCACTCATTGGCTATGTGACCTTGGACAAGTTACTTAGCTGTTCAGTAATAGGATTATAAGATCCTGCTTTGTAGGATTATTATGAGGATTAAATGATTGAACAATGCCTGGCACATGTTAGACTTGTCATGTGTTCAGGCTCTAGAACCAAGTGGCCTAGGTTCAAACCCTAGCTCTTTCACTTACTAGCTGTACAGCCTTGGATTAGTTATTGCATGTATGTGTACCTGTAAAATGAGGACAATATTCTTCACAAAATTGTTATGATCAATAAATGGCTAGTAAATATAAAGCACTTAAATGGTGCCTGACCTCTGATTCACACCAGTACTCAGTAAACCCACCCATCTCCTTTATTACCAACTCATATCTTTGTGTTTCTCATAATCATATCTCCTTCTTATTGTGGTATCTTAGATTAGACCCCATCTGTTTCCCATCTATTTAAATCTGCTTGGATTCTCCTGTTGTTTTTGTTTTTAAGACAGAATCTCACTCTGTTGCCCAAGCTAGAGTGCAGTGGCGCAATCTCCGCTCACTGCAACTTCCATCTTCCAGGTTCAAGCCCTGCCTCAGCCTCCAGAGTAGCTAGGATTATAGGCATGCTCCACCACACCTGGCTAATTTTTTATATTCTTAGTAGAGATGGGGTTTCTTGAACTCCTTACTTCAGGTGATCCACCCACCTCCACCTCCCAAAGTGCTGGAATTACAGGCTTGAACCACCATGCCCGGCCATATCCTCCTGTTGTTACTCCAAACTGTTTCAGATCAAATTTCTGACTATAGGGTCCATCGCTGCAGTGTGCTTTCAGGACTGCCCCTAAAGGGTGGCACACCATGGCATATCATAGCTACCTTTTGTCTAACAAGAGGTAAGTTTCTTACCACTGGAGGTGATAAATAGTTGGAAGGACTACCATGTGACATATCTATACAGCAATTAGATGATTTTTTATATCAGAGGGTGTGTTGTGGATAGGATTTATAAATTC